CAGCTTATTGGACCCTCCGGGTTGACCCTGAAAGGGTCCGGGTTTGGCCGGGTTCAGAAATAGATGTACCCTGACCCTGACCCTGACAGACCCTACCCTGAAACCCTGCGGGTTGACCCTGACCCGTGCTCTACCCTACACTTGAGCAGGTTTAATTTCCCCACCTTCTACTAGTGCTCTTAAGGCCTTTAATCAAGCTTATGCTATTATCTAATGGTTTAGTCTTAGTCTTTCAGTAGGGTAGGTTGGGTAATTTTCCCATAGACCCTGTACTGATTATGTGTGTTAGTTATCAACTTTGGCAGAGTTATAGAAGTCAGCCTGAGGCCTCCTGGACAATTACTATTTAAGACCTCTGAATGCTTTACAGTGCTCATCTATAAAGGGGTTAAGCAGGAATTTTGTGCAATTCTAGGTTTAGAGGTAAAAGGGCTATCCTTTGCAATTTGCATTTTTTAAGTTCAAGGGACAGGTATTGTATTTGGTCTAGTTTGAAAAACTCTTGCCTACAAATTTTAGGTGGAAGCTTGTTTATCCTATGCCTTAATTACTATTTGCAGATATCATCTCATCTCTAGTCCTCTGTGGAATCCTGTATGCTGAAGGTTATCTGATACATCCAGACCCCATGCTGTAAGTTCATTCTTTTCTTTGACTTGGTCAATGGTTGATCCACCATACAGTTTCAAACTTAAATCGCTGTATTGTACTGTGCATTATCTTACATAGCAGATATTATAATTTGTGGCAGACTTTAGCCCGTGGCTTAATCAACATGTTGATCAGTAACAGTCAATACCAAGTTATAGGGAATCTATGCTAGCTACTATAAATCATGATCTCATTGTTGTGTCTTTCTTATTATTACTGTCAGGCTAGGCTCAGACTATACTTGAGCCCTAGCTGATTCTACCTAGTTAAGTTAGGCTTAGATTGGAACAGTCTAAACATATTATCACTCAATTAGTTATTAGTAGTTGATACTAATAATAATAATAATAATGTAAAACAAATAAAGTGTTGAGGGCAAGCCTGGAGGCCTAGAAATCAGGGGTCTAGCAGGGGAGTCCAAGAATCCAAAGAGAAGAAACTCTCAGGGTTCATATGCTAGGTAGGTCTAGAGGTGGAGCCACCTCTAACAGAAAGCAAAGTGAGCCTGGCCCTGTAAGTGAATAAAGTGGGCAATAAAAGGTGAATAAAAGTGCCCAAAACAAGTCCACTGCTACTTAGCAAAGGTAAATAAATGCCCCTAGAGGTGTGACTGATTCAAGACCCTCTGTGAGTGAATAAAGGCGAAAAAATTATAAACTTGGAGAGTATATCAGTAGCATAACCTATAGAAGTAAATAAAGGTGAACTGAATTTGGACTTGGAAGTATCTTAAATTTAATCAATTTCATATAGGACCCTATAGCCTGATTGATATACTATATAGTATTATAGGATTGTTACTTATAGGGTTCTGTAGAGTGTCAATAAGGCTAGTAGGGTTACATACAAGTCTTTGTTGCTGTCCTTCTCTGCTGTTTTAACTATTTTTCTTCGGGCATTTGACTCATCGTTACACAGTTTCGAGAGTGGTGGAATAAAGAAGGCGGTGGATGGTAACATTCGTTTGGTAGCAGTTAATGGCCATAGCGAGGTGTGTTCCATCTTTTTTCCTGTCTTTTTGATCTGATTTTGCGTGCCTGCAGTCCAACCTTTCTGTTAGATTCCGTTACCTCAACCAACACTGTCCTTTGCGTTGTATTTACAGCGCGTTGTATTTACGGCGCGCAGAACGTTTCCCTCACCTTTAGCCTCTCCTTGTCAACTTCCACCAGCCTCGTCTCTCGTCTCAGTCCTGTGGTAAAGCCACCCTTCTAGCACAATAACAAGACACCTCCACATGGATATGAGTGTTGAAATAGTTCACTGCGCGTCACTTACATATTTCTAGCTAGATATTTTTTATCATCAGAAATGTTTCTATTGCAAGTGTTGTTTGTACCTTGTTGAAGTTAAAGCAGGCTTAACATGATAACTCGAAATATTAAGGCTGATACTGATTCTTATACAAACTATTAAAAGGTGCATGTATCTGTATTTAAACACCTGAGAAACATGTCTCTATGTACTGCATCTATTAAATAATAGGCCTTTAGTTTTCTTGAGGGCATTAGTCTGGCTGGGGCAAGTAATAGGGCGCTCGTAGTACGCATGCAAAACTCTAAGGCCTTGTCTTCTTATGTGAGTATGCAAGCTAAACAGAGCCCTGGCACAAATGAGTCAGGTTGTAGGGTAGATAAAAGTCTTCTTCTAAAAACAATTTTGCGTACCTCAAAGTATAATATTAATAAAAGTCTGCCACAGAAAATACCAATATGATGTCTGGAGAGTTTAAATTATATTTAGCATGTTCTTTAGTCAACAGGCGCAGAAACCTTCCTTATTATGTTTTACAATTTTTTCAATACGAAAATTATCTAATGGTAGCTTGTATTAACTCAATAATGAAGATATTTCACCTCTGCACCTCTAGTTACCTTGGATTGCCTTTAGCTACCTCCATTCAACTGGATCCACCTTTTGGGGGTAGGTAAAGTAAGCTAAATGCTCTAGGGAGGTTTTTCCAAGTAGACCTGTAATTTAGAGAGATTGTGTCAGGGGAACCCCTGCTTCGGCCTCCTTCGGACCGTCCGAGGGCATCCGAGGCACATCCGACCGGCACCCCCTCGGACGCTCCGACCCACCCCGACCATTGTCCATGGCCTCCTTTGCCCGCACAATCACCGATCCGTCAAGACCCTCCCAACGACCACCTTGGGACAGAGCCTGCGACGCCGCTCAGGCCTTCTGCGCTCTATGTCGGCAGTTACGGACGACCAGTATATAGTTGGCGCCCTAGCAGGCGGACCCTTAGAGTTTCTTCTCTTTGAATCCTCCCCTGCTAGGCTTTCGTCGGAGTCTCCAGGGTTGCCCTTACAGATTGTGTCCAAGTGTTACCAAAGTTTAGCAATAGGTCAAGTTGAACTATACTGTTGATGTAGATTTCAGTCTGTTTGAAGTGGAAACTATTGGAAAAATTATATTTATTTGACTTTTCATTTGTCCTTGGATAAGTATAAAAATAAAATAGCTGTTGAAATGTTTGTACCATCTATATTTACAAATGGAAAGAGTTGGAGCCCTAGTATTGCTCTGGGCTGATCTCAAGTAGATTCCAACAGGTTACAAGATCATTGAGACGTAAATTACTATACCAATAAGTATCCAATACCTTAACTAGATAAACTAATCTTATATAAGCGGTCTTTGGAGTCGTAGCGTCCTGTCTGCATCAGGATGACGGTTCCCGGTAGGCTTGGAGGTAGAGGCAGATCAATCCAACAAGATTTCCATCTCTTTCGTCGATTGCCATCATAATTGTTATTGACCCCATCTTGGGGCAATCTTCTGGTGTTCGCGGTGTTCACTATATGTGCCCGTGGTTGGTCATGACGCGTAGCCGTGCGTGTAGCTCGGGCTGTAGCTCGACGTCGGGTACTGGGCCGCGTTCGCGTACATCGGTGCGGGTGCGTACGAGGACGGCGCGTACATCAGCGGGGTCGCGGCGCCGGCGCCGGAGAGTGAGAGGTCGGGGTACGCCCCGCCGGAGTAGCGCGGGCGCATGTTGGACGGCAGCGGGCCGGTGTGCGGGAGGGTGGTCGGGGTTGATGAGCGTGATGGCGCGTAGGTCGGGGCCGGGGCCGGCGCGGATGCTGCCGGGACGTACTGGCACATCGTGCCCTTGCGCGTGCACCGCGCGCAGGCGACGGACGGCGCGTGCGGCGAGGGCTCGCAGCGGATGTTGTTCTGCCGGCACGAGAGGCAGACGAGCTTGCAATTGGCAGCGCGGGGGGCGGCGTAGGACATTGTTGTTGTTGTTATTCGAGTGGGGGCGGGGGGTGGAAGTGGTAAGAACTGTAGATCTGCAGAAGAGGCGACGACGATCCCAGCCTTATACGCACGACAACTAAGCGCCGGACCGAGTTCGCCCGAGTCATCGTGACGTCGCTGGCGGGGAGTCACGGCAGCACCGCAGCCGAGTGCACTCGTCCTCGGAGAGCAGTGCGCAGGCTCTCTTGTCCTGTGCGCTTCCCAAACGGCACGGCCACGTGGCGTGATGGTGAAACCAACCTGATTCGGCACGCGTGACGCGGCCGTCATGATGAGTCATCGTGATGCCGTCGTACGCGTATGTATTCGGAGTGATTCGACGCGGCCGGGCCCGAGTCGAGGCGCGATCTGCACAGCGGTGATAGACGGATGATACAGCTCGTCTGCCCTTTCAATCTTGACGCAGCTTCGAGTTGTCACTGATAGGCACTGACCCAGCGTAAGTTGGCGTTTTGGCGTTTTGGCATTCTGGCAAATTGGCATTGGCAGCGCGTCGACGTCCGCTCGTCGATCGGACATCCCGCAGCAGTGGCCCCACACGGCGGACACGCCGGCGGGTATTCGAATAGGCTGGTCAGAAGATAACGCAAAAAAAAACCACTTCACCTATGTGTCAGCAAGGCTTCGAGCCATGTCGAACGCAAGCGACATAAAGCGGGCCGTAGAAACTTGAAGGTCCTGAGGAGAGAGAGGTCGTTGGGCGCATTGAATGCGCGAGGCAGAAAGATATTGCATTGGGCGATTGATAGCGCACACCCACATGGAACGCAAATAGGTCCACACGGTTCAGTGAAACGGACACGGGGAAACGGAGGTGTGGCCTTTCGTTTGGAACAGGAAGAACAACGGCTGTTCTCGAATAATAGAGGCTGCGACTCGTGTCCAGCGAGAATGACGACAGAAAACCGGAAGCAGACTGAGTTGTGGGGAAAGGGTATGTATTGCTTTAGAGTGGTAGGAAAAACGGGTCTAAAATAACGGGAAATGGCAAGAAAAGTGGTAAGCTATAACACGTATCGTTGATTTTGTGCCACGAATCAGCTTCTACTTCCAACTACTGTCGTCGTCGGCGGGTCGTGGGCTCAGAATGTCTCCTCCTCGTCAGCCGCTGCGTCCTGTTCGGGGACCTCGAAGCCGTCCTCGGTGGCGTAAAGCACCTTCTGGATCTCGCGCAGCGTGTCATCGTCCTGGCCCTCCTGCTCGAGCGCCTCCACACGCTGCTGCACCATAATCTCGATTTCTCGCAGCTGGATTGAGAAATGAGTCGCTATACGTCACTAGATAGCACTGGCCACGCACCTTCTCGAAGTAAAAGTCGCGCTCCTTCTCGAGCCCCTCAATGTGGGTCGTGAGCTCGCTGACCTGGTTATTGAGCGCGATGATCGTCGCATTGTTCGGTGTCCCCGAGCGATGTCCGCTAACCGGCGTCCGCGCATTGGCCCGCGACGCGCCCGCCCCAGCCGTGCTCTTCCCCGTGCCCATGCTCTTCGGTGCCACCGGCGCCAACGTCGCCGGTTCTGCCGCCGCGCCCTTCCGTCTGCCCACCGCATCGTACTCCCCCGCCCGGGTAGTTCGCCTCCCAAAAGCGCTTGATCCACTGCAGGAACTCGAGGTTGTCCTGCATCTTGCACTTGACGAGCTTCTCCACGGGTATCGGCTTATCGATCTTCTTCGCCTTGAAGACGCCCTGCATGATCTTGTAGTTCGCGAGCGACTCGTACTCCTGGCGCGCGGCCATCTTCACGCGCGCCATCGGCACGTCGAGGTAGATGCTGTCGAGGATCTGGAGGTACGCCCCGCCCGTCCCGCACTGCTCCACCTTCGTGTAGTTCAGCCCGAGCAGGTCGTTCACCCACTGGATCAGCTCTGTTCGCGAGGCTCCGGCCATCGGGCGCTTGTCTGTCTTCTCTTTTCGCGGCGGGGAGGGAGGGAGAAAGACGGTGGGTGGTGGCAAAAGAAGAAAAGCGAATGATCCGTCATGACTCAGCTCACGCGTGTCACATTCGCGCTGTCACGGCATGCCGTCATCACGCCTTGCCAGCGGGTCAACCGCCGCGCTCTTCCGAGACCGACATGCTTAGACTTGAACGGATATTGGATGCCAAACCCAGCTGGTGAGGGCTTGTCACCTCATATTAACTACTACTGTAAGTACCATTTTGGTCAATTTGCAATGTCACATCTTTAAACAAATTGAAATTTTCATTTTTTCATTGCATGGAGACTATATTCATTTGCTCCACATTTCCATTTTTGGGACCACTGCTGTTAAGGCCCCAAATTGGTAACAAAAGCTGTAAAATGTGACCAATCCTAATTGGGATACAAAGCTGTACATGATATGTTGAACCCAGTACCATAAAACATTATATCTAGAGTAATTTACTATGGTAACATACTAAGTACTCTCAATTGGCCCACAAATCAACAAATAAATATATAAAATTTACTGACTTGAGTTGCAATCTACGTAGATAGTAGTTGACTAGACATTTAAGAGGGTTATTATGCACCTGTGTGCTATTCTGTAATTAGTGGGATATTTCTTTAATTTAAAAATTCAATTTATCAATCACTGGTGACCATTCTTAGGTCAGGCATGACTTATCCATAGAGTTAAAGAGCTGAAAGTGAGTCTATAAACAGATATATATATATATATATACTAGACAGGACTGGGGCTACGCCCCAGCTTTGAATATTACTTGAATAAATTGAATTTTTAAATTAAAGAAATATCCCACTAATTACAGAATAGCACACAGGTGCATAATAACCCTCTTAAATGTCTAGTCAACTACTATCTACGTAGATTGCAACTCAAGTCAGTAAATTTTATATATTTATTTGTTGATTTGTGGGCCAATTGAGAGTACTTAGTATGTTACCATAGTAAATTACTCTAGATATAATGTTTTATGGTACTGGGTTCAACATATCATGTACAGCTTTGTATCCCAATTAGGATTGGTCACATTTTACAGCTTTTGTTACCAATTTGGGGCCTTAACAGCAGTGGTCCCAAAAATGGAAATGTGGAGCAAATGAATTGCTAAGGCCAGTGCCAAACATGTGCATATATTCACACGACATCTGCTTAATATAAGAGTAATGTATTTATGCAAAGTTTGTCCAAAATGCCAATTTCTGTACTGCTTTTGATCCCATCATTGGTCACAAAACCCCCGTTGCGTCCTCCCTGGCGCCGGCACCCCCAAACCAGTCAGCAGGGCAGTTTAACAGCAACAGCAATGAGAAGGACTATAACATGCAATACCAGCGCAAGCTCGTTGTGAAAGGAAAAGCAAAAGCTAAGGAGGGTAGTGATAAGGACGGAGGAGATCAGGAAGATAATAAGGAAGAAGATACAGGGTTTGAGTATCAAGTTATGGAGGAGCAGGAGAAGAAACGGGCGGCAACCATGCGCAAAATGCGCAAGGGCAAGGGGAAGGTAACATTGCTTATAATAGCATAGGGCATTTGCTAATACGGCAATAGTAGCACAAGGGCCTGGAGGAGAAGGCAAAAGACATAAAAAAGGCTAAGGCTCAGTAGAAAGAGAAGGTGGTATGTGTCTTGTCTGTCTCTCTAGGTTGCAATCTAAACTATGATAGGAAGGTGTTCATTTTAAGGATAGCGCATTAGCGCCCGAGGATGAGTTCCTTCTTGAAGGTGCCAAGGTCAATCCTCTCTACTGGGTGCTAAAGTTAGGCGGGTTGAGACAGATAAAGGGTCATTCGTCCAAACGCGACTGCTTAGAATCTACTATTAAGGACTTGGTTATGATGACAGGAGAGCATGGCAAAAACTTCTATCGCTGGCGTAAGCAGTTTGTCTTAGCATATATGGTGCTGAAGCATCTTGTCAACCCAAGACACAGATGAGTATATATGATTAGGAGTTGAATAGGCAGTAAAAGACGGTGCTGTGGGTATTGAAAACTTGTTAAATAAAATATATATATTATAAGTAGCCTTAAACCCAGCAGAGTTAGAGACTGAAGTTGCAGCAACATCGAGGGTGTGATAGCAGGCCAAGTAATTAAAAGATAGCCTTAGGAAGAGGTAGGATATATAACTACTTTAATTACAGGTAGGCAAAATTTATCTATCTGGATTATTTTTTAAGATGCTATATTACAAGTTGGTGTTTTATTAGGATGATAAAATCTGGGTTTAATATTAATGTAAAAAGGTCTGCATAGCAGTTTAACCACACATAGCTTATTAGAGTTACTTAGTTACCGATAATATAAGTGTTAGAATGAAAGTCCCTCTGCGTCAGAAAAGAATTAGTATAAATTTGTTCTACTATAAGTAATTTAGATCACTAGTCAGATTAAAGGGCTTTTAAATTACTTGTAGATAAACATATTAGAGTAAGCAGAGGCAAATAATAAGAAGGTTTGATTAATAACCACTCCTTATGTGCCTAGTAACATCATGTCACAGCTTTGTTGATCCGCTAAGACATGTATATAAACAAAATCATATTATGATAAGATAATATTGGCGATGAGAAGTGATAAGCAGGGTTAAAAGAGGGTCCTCGACCTTTCTGATGCTAGTTAAATAATAATTAAAGGGCAATTCTTTAAAGTCTGCAAAAAAAAATACTTACAAGCCAGACAACTATTCCTATTCTAAAAGAAAGGTGTATTTAACTAGAGATACTAGATTATGATAACATAAGTTTTAGACAAGAAAGCTTTAAAACAGAAAGTTGCAATCTAACAGTGTGTTTTACATTTTATTTTAAGTACTAGAAAAGAATTGTTAAAAGAATATCCCTTTGGGCCCCTTAGAGACAATTCCGATTCTAGTCTTGATTCTGGTCTAGCCCTCCATCTTGCCTGCACAATTACCAATTTGTTAACGCTCTCTCAATGGTCACCCTAAGACCTTATCTATAATACCACCTAGGTCTTCTATGTCTGACAGCGGCAGCTACAGATAAGTAGTATATAGTCGCTATCTAGCAGGCAGACCCTTAGAGTTTCTTCTCTATTAGATCCTTCCCTGCTAGGACCTTATAAAAATTGGTAAGAACTCTTAGTCATATAATCTATTCTGCTGTAATTAAGATCACTAGTCAGATGAGGTAGTTTCTAAAAACAAAATTACTTATAAATAAATATTTTTAAATGTAGGCCGTAAGGTATATAGAGGTGAACTTAGGCAATAGGCTTTTCCTCCAGAGACTAATTACTGAGCCCTACATTATGGTGTTCTACTATATGTGTAACAGTATTACCTTAGGATAACTCTTTCCCTTTCTCTCTCTGCAGAGCAACTTCCCTTACTCCCTCTTTCTCTTGTCTTATATCTCTTTACTCCTTATTCATTAAGGATCATGCTGTCCTGCTACCTTACTCACGTCCATTAGGAGCATGACATTGTTAAGTATCTTTTTAGAAAGTCTTAGCTTGTGTACTACTAAAAGAAATAGAAATAAATAAAAATAAATAAATTTGGTCAGGTGTGACCTAGCATCTAGTGTTCCCATTTTTTGCTAATACCCTTTTTAGCTAAGCTAATGAGAAATAACTCTGCCAATGCCCTCTAGCTTGAATTCTAATTACTAAAGATCTACTTCTTGCAGGCATTATTAAGAAATTAAAACAAATGAGCTATTAAGTGCTGTGCAGACTAGAGGACTAGAGACAAAGGTGAAGTTAAAAATAAAAGTAAAGTTATAAACCAGATCACTATAAAAGAATATTTAGGTGACTGTCAGGGGATGAGGGTCCAGGTGCCTAGTTGATACCAAAGCCGGGGGGGACAGCAGCCAACTACTTAAGTACAGGGCTATCTGCGCACGGATCAGTCACGTGATCGGTCACAGCCGTCACATCACATGCTCCCCTTACAGTGACTAGGGCTTTTAGTCAAGTTTTAACTATAAGAGAAGATAAGGGCAAAGTTGAGATAATGCTGAGAGATGAAAACCAGCAATAGTAATTTATAAATTAAAGTACATAGTAATATATCAAAGTATTTATAGTAGGAGAAGTAACTGAAAGGAAATAAGAGATATTAATATTAGAATAAGGATAAGTTTAGTAGTACAGTTGCGGACAATCAAAGTTGATAAGTGAATAAACTTTTAATTGTGAGCCAACCATTACTGCTATGGGAATTCTAAGCTCAGATTCAGGGGGTCTGAAAACCCCTATATAGTATTTTCACCTAATTTTCCCACGTCATATAAGGGTCGCAAAATTTTTAAGCCATAAACAAAAAACATTTATTCAACCATAAGAGTGTAAAAAGAAAATTAAGCTATGCTTGCCTTCTCTAGTTCTGCTAGAATATTACTATTACATGACCTGTACGCTGTCAGGGGAAACCCTGATGCCGTCACTTGATCCCATCAAGCGCCGCGTCTCCGCTCGCGTCTCCGCGTCTCCGCTCGTGTCTCCGCGTCTCCGCACCCTGACGCTCTCCCTCCACTGCCCGCACCACATCCCACATCCAGTGATCCCCAGTCTTCGACTTCCCTGGCCACCCCTTTCCGGGAGTCTCTCCGCCAGCAGAGTCACCATCAGGGATCACTAATGCCATCGGAGACCCCTCCGGATGTGGACGCACCACTTCCCTCCGAGACCTTGAGCCTATGGCCTTCTAGCCTCTCTGGGCTGTCACTTATCAAGGTCTCCCTACGATCTCTACCTGCTGGACCTCTTGGGTGTCCCCAACCCATGTCAGCGTTCGGGCTTATGTTCGGATGGCTGAGCCTTGCCATGGCTCCGCTCTCCACTCCGCCACCACGGCCCCCGTCATCGGGCCTTCCCCTGGGTGAGGCCTACTGCCGTTAAGGCTCGTGCCTACTGCAGCGCCCCAGGCTGCACGCCCTCACACCTCCACCTCTCTGGAGACGTCCGGGGACGTCTCCGAGTGACCCCCTGTCGCTACCCTCCAGTGGTCATGGCTGGCCGCCATTCCCATTGGTCCTCTTCGACACTCCCGGCCCTTGGGCTAGACCAGACTCCTTCCCTTTCCGCTCCACGCCTTCCCTCTCCGTTTCCGGCCGTCACGTCACGGTCACACACCCGGAGTCGATTCCGATTCCGATTCCGATTCCGGTTGTCACGGTCACGGTCACAAGCGGAGACGCCCAGAGGCAGCCTGGACCTCCCGAAGCCCTTCTTAGGCCTTCTAGGGATGCCTGGGCCCCTCCCTTGGCATCACGGTCCCAAACCTGCCTCTCCGGAGCTTCAAGGGCTACTCGACACTCACCTAGGGTCCATTAGCGATGCCTGACTTCTCCCATCCGTCATCCGTCACTATGCAGTCACTCTATCATTACTCCGGTCACTGGTATATAGTAGTGCACCTGGGCAGAGGGCTCCTTGGCTTGTTCTCTAAGGATTCCCCCTCTGCTCAGGTGAGTCTGTAGCGTCCCTTCCTGTTGTAGTAGTTCACTAAGGATTCCCCCTCTGCTCAGGACTCTGATTTCGAGCCTCACGAGGTTGCCCTTACATTCATGTTCAGCTACAAACACATGATTAGCATGAATGGGATAACAACTTTGTCATGACTTTACAAAAACTTCCTAATAAATGTTACCAGCTCACTTGTATGGAGAAGTCGACCTTATCTAGTGAAGTCAGGTTTAAGTAGGGTCTGAGTCAGGGTCAGGGTCTGAGTCAAGTTAAGCAGACCCAGATGGAAGGTATAATTAGGAAGTTCTTAAACAATAGTATGCTGAACAGGATCATTCCGCAGCTTTGGAACTTCCCTCCTGCAGCCGAAAATAGCAGATCAGCCAGGGCAATTTAGTGTCTGGCCTGTTAGGTCAGTGATTGCCTAAGGGCCTTAGGTTTTGATGAGAAATAGGCCCTCAGGGCACTATCCAGAGGCGAGCTCGAGCTTGATGATGGGGGAAGACCGGGTGCAGCTTCGAGTAGCACGGAGCGAGGTTGAGCTTGTAGACACCTTTGCTGATCTCCGCGACTATCTTGAACGGTCCAAAGCGGCGGTGGGAGAACTTTTCCGAGGGGCGAGTCGTCCTGATGTCAGAGGTGTCCAGCCAAACATGGTCGCCAACCTTAAACTCCGGAGACGGAGTGCGTCTGCGGTCGTAGTAGCGTTTGTACTCCTCTTTGGCCTTTGTGAGCGCAGCCTTGGCTTCGGCAACACCAGTGGGGATCCGGTCGTGGAACTCGTTCACTGACTCCATGGCAGAGCGGACTCCGGGTTCGAAGCCCATGCGCGGGAGTCCATCATGAACAGGACTTGTTGCGTGGAGGAGTGAACATGGTTGTTGTAGGCGAACTCCGCGGCCGGAAGAAGCTCGTCCCAGTCGTCCTGCTGATAGTTGGTGAAGATCCGCAAGTATTGCTCCAACTCCTGGTTGACGCGCTCTGTCTGACCGTCTGTCTGCGGGTGGTACGCGGTGGACGTGGCAGGCTTGATGCCGATTAGGCGCCAGAGTTCTCGGGTGAAGTCCGCGATGAACTGCGAGCCGCGGTCGGAGATGTACTTCTCCGGAGTCCCATGGTGTCGCCAGACGTCCCTGGTAGTAGAGGCGGGCTGCCCCCACTGCATCGACCGTCGTATGACACTCCGAGAACTGGGCGCACTTTCTGAGGGTGTCAACGACGACCACGATCGCATCGTACCCATGGGCTTTGGGGAGCTCTACAATGAAGTCAACGGAAACGGTATGCCAGCGTTCTGGGGGCGTTTCCGTGGGGTGCAGCTCTCCGTGGGGCAGTCTCCGGAGTGCCTTGGTGCGACAGCACAAGTCACAGGTTGCAACATACCGGCTGATATGGCAAGACATTTGGGGCCACCAGTAGTTCCGGGAGACCAACTCCAAGGTCTTGAAGTGACCTGCGTGTCCAGCGACTCGAGTGTCATGGCAGAGCTCGATGATGCGTCTCCGGAGGTCCTTGTCCTTTGGTACAACAATCTTCCCTCGGAAATGGAGAAGACCGCCGGAGATGGCCCACTCATCAGAACGTGAGGAGCATGTCAGCGGATGAGGGTCCAGGTGCCTAGTTGATATCAAAGCCGGGGGAACAGCCCCACAGCCAACTACTTAAGTACAGGGCTATCTGCGCACGGACCAGTCACGTGATAAGTCACAGCTGTCACATCACATGCTCCCCTTACAGTTTTGTGGTAAAAAAACTTCATTCGACTGACCCCCCCGGCTAAAATGAATTGAGTTATTTTGTTGCAGTTGCGGTACCTGCCGTTGGATCTCAAGGCAACAATATCTGTGACAACGGTGAGCTTGTACCACTTTAAATACGACTTACATTTCAGAAGCTCGTGACAAACGATGGCCACGACACGTTCAACGTTGGTGGAACCACAATCCCCGTCTCCAGCAGCGTGAGTTTGGCAACGACGACAAATTCTGGCCATCATGCCCTTCAGCGCGAAGGACAGCGAGAACAATATCCAGCCACTCACCAGTGCTGTCTCAGACAACCGTCGAATTTCAGGTGTGTTCCGCCAGAGTGGGTAATATTGTTGTTGCCCCGCTCAATGGCCCGCTTGGTGTTGGCCAGGTCAGTCTCGTCGCTGTGTTGATCGTCAAGTTTTCGTTATGATGCCTCCTCCAGTGAATTGGACAATGAGGCCTAAGTTGCGCTGGGGCGGAGATAGCACATCGCCGGTTGGTGTTGTGGAGACAGCGTTGTTGCACGAGTTTTTGGCTGCCACTGCCAGTGACAGTGACTCGGAGAGTTGTAGCGCTCAGCGTTGGCTGGGCCGAGCTCGCTGCTGGTGTGGGGATTCTGGTGCTTGATCACTGGCATAAAGCTGTTCTGGAGAGAATTGAGCAGCAAGGCCGGCGAGAAACTCAGAATTGGTTCCAGGACCGCTGTGGCACGTAGTTGGCAAGCCGAGTTTCGGGCTTTTGGGGGCTTGTGAACGGAGGTAGACGCTGAGACGCAGCAAAAACGCGACATGTGCCCGGCCGTGGCAAGGGCCGCGGCCCAGGATAAAGGCCACTGGGTTTGTGTGCCAATGCGTGGAGTCAAAAGGCACAAACACGCAACTCTTCATCCTATGTCAAGTTGAGCGTTGATCAGAGTGGCCATACTATGGCGAGCTTCCACCGAATGTGGGCCTGGGGACTTAACGCGGAGTGGAGATGGGAGAAGTGGTGAAGTGATGTGTGTGGTCATGTGAGGACCGGCTTGGCAGTCGGCAACCCTTGCCGCATGTCAAAATCTGACATGACCACCTTCTGTTGCAATCACCCCGACAACTGAGAAGAAAACGGGAGGATTTTTTTAAATTTTAATGAAGGTAATAATGGTTGCAAAAATAGTGACCTTTATTGATTAGAAAAAATAATGTCAACTAGATAGGAAGGAAATCTGACCAGAAAAATGTTTCTCAGATTGTAGGAGAAAAAGGGTGCATATGTGGGAAAAATGGAAGATATCTGGGCATAAGAGGCTTTTTTGTATAACAATGTTGATTCCTTTTTTTCTGATAAGATTGCTGTTCTACTTATTGGGTCTTTTTAAATCCATTTTCCCCAACAAATAAAGGTGTCCCTTTTTGGGGTCATTATTACCTTAATTAAAATTTAAAAAAATCCTCCAGTTTTGTTCCCATTCCTCGGGGTGAATAACGTTGATATCGCGCGATTGCGATCTCGATAGCCGACGGATCAGCACTGACTGCACGCGTTCACCGTGCCATCACTCCATATCGCCGTCACCGTGACGACACCGGGCCACCGGGCGTGACGTTCTTGCCTCCTCCTGCTCTTGCCCCACGTCCACCTTCATCCCTCGCGGACGATCCGAAGTGAAGCGGAACGAAATCAGCTAGACAAAATCCTCGAATGGCCGCCCGCGCTGGCCCCACTACCACCGCTGGCGCGACGCCGCCCGACCCGCCCTTCCCCGCGCTCTACCTCCTCCCGCTTGACGGCTCCTTCTACCCGCCAAAGCGCATCTTTCTCCCGCCCCCCGCGGACGGCGGTGCCATCAGCAAGGCGGGTCCGCCAGAGAAGGACAGGGTGGTCAGAATCGGGCGGCAGCTGAACGCAAAGGCCCAACCCACAGCGGCGAACGGTGTGTTTGAGAGTCGGGTGCTGAGTCGGGTGCATGCAGAGGTGTGGGTCGAATTTGTTTATGGCGAGGGGGACAAAGAAAATGCCGGGAGCCAAAGGGAGGGAGGGCTGAGGGTGCTCATTCGCGACGTGAAATCGTCTAATGGGACGTTTGTCAATGGCGAGCGGTTGGCTCCGGAGGGCGTCGAGAGCGCTCCTTGCGAGGTGCGAAGCGACGATATCCTGGTGCGCCATAACCTCTTCATTTTCCAATATTCCATTCATATGACGGTAGGAATTCGGAATCGACATCATCGGGGAGCATGGCGAGGTGGTGCATCGCAAGGTGTCTGCGCGAGCTACATGTGCATTGACCGAGGCAGAGGCCAGTCGTGCGGTGAGAACAGAGCAGCGAGTTTACCCGCCTGCCTCGCCGCCTTCACCATCTTCCCCTTCTCCGGCCCCAACGCCACCGCCCAGCACAGGCCCGGTCGTCACGTTTGCAGAACCCGCCAATCGCCGGCCACAGCACCAGTCAACGAACTCCTTTGGCAGTCCGGGCAGCAGCGGCGCTAATGCCAGCGGGATAGCAGGCATGGGCGGGATGGGCACCGAGCGCATTCGGCCCAAGTCGGGCGACTTTGAAAGCATATTAGCGAGGTTGCGGGATGGGCCGAGGGCTGCGGTGGCTGCCCATGCTACCCTGGACAACGAGAATGCGAAGGCGAACGATAAACTTGCAGACAAGGAGAACGTCAGCGAGGTGGTTGCAGAGTCGATACTCGCGCTAAAGCCGATGCCGGCGACGACAACGACAACAGCAATTGACGCCTTGACATCAGAGGTGGCGGATACACGGCTGCAGCTGGACGGCGCGCTTGTTTCGGCGTCACTGTTCATGACACCCCCACCGTCAGCAACAGAACCACGGATTCTCGCCAATGCATCCTTTCTTGCGGCGGAGCTGACAAAGCTTAGAGAGGAGGCTGGCGCACTGCAGCGGGCAAAGACCGGTGCCAGAAGCCGGCGGAGGAGGAGGCGGGAGGAGGAAAGGATGGCTGTGGCTGCTGAGAGTCCTATAGAAGACGATGGGTGGGAGGACCTAGGGTTCGACATGCCCGCTATGGAGCTCGCGAGTCCGAGCGGGACGGTGCCAGACTCGCCGCTCGCGTTCGAGCATCAGGTCCCGGGAAGGAAAAAGGAGGAGGAGGAAAAAGAAGCGGTGGGGAATGCGAAGCGGCAGCTGGACGCGTTGGAAGCGCAGTTGCATCTGCTCCAGGACGGGCTCAGAGCGATGCAAACCGGACATGCGCAGGAAACGGCTGTTGTCGAGCCCGAGTTGGATGGGCTGGTGAAGAGGGTGGACAGGCTGGAGGAGGCACTCGCTTCTCCCCAGGTACTAGTGCCGTCCCGGACCCAAACTGATGTGCAGAGGATCGAGATGGAGACGACACTGCGACATGACATGAACGCGCTACAGGCAGAGTGGGCTGCGTTTCGCGTCGAGGTCAACGATACCACCACGGAATGGCAAGACCAAGACATGCTTGGGCGCTGGCTCGCGGCCGGGGAGGCTCGGTCTGAAGACGACGATACCAGCGATGTCGAGGGGCATTCGCGCGGTGTTTCGGGGTCGTCCAGCGCCAGCGACATCGCTATACCAGGGCGATGGCGAACAGGAGGCGCATGGGGACTACTAACGCCGGCAGGAAGTGTGCGGAACGGCCATGTGGGGATTTCTTTTAAAAAACATGCGTTGTTTCTTTGCTGACTATTTTCAAGAGGGCTGCTGCGGCACTACCAGAACTAGCTCCCGCCCCGACGCCTGCAACAGAGCCTCGGCCTGTGCCGAATGGCCCTATAATCGACCACACAAATCGTAGAGGCATAGCACGTGGAGATGTGCTCCTACTGCTAGGCGCGGTTGGGGCTGGGGCGGCGATCGTTGGGGCGGCGTGGTGTGGCGCGTAGCCGCGGACACTCCTTTTTCATTTCTTCTTTGCTTTGGCATGCTTTCGTTCTTTTCATTTTTTGCATCACGACGACACGACTTACAAGTACTTTATTCAATGGATCGATACCATAATTTAGATGGAGCAGAGCTTGCAGTATACTTGCAGAGTGAATCCTTAGCTACGCCGAGGCCTCAGTATTAAACTTGCAACTTCGCAAACTTCGGAGTTGTGGACTGCTTATCTAAGATTGCACTAGTGTACTATTAAAAACAGTGTTTTCTTGTATAAAAAGGAGTGTTATAACACTTTGGTCAAACATGAGTAGAAGAGCTGAGAGTTCAGGACCGCTTGTCCAGCCTACTAGTAATCCAAGTCCTCGACCTTCCACAGTCTGTTCATGCCCATTTTAGTGCCGCCAGATTGTTGCATTTAAGTTAATGAATTGTGTTTGCACTGGAGGGCAATCATCAACGAGGTGGATGCGCTCAAGTCGGGACCACGTACCCAAACGAAAGTCGTCTGGGATCATCGTCAAATTCGCGCCGTTCAGTTGCATTATTGCCTCGAGAGTCGAAATCATCAATGAACACAACTTGGATCAGAAGACAAGACATACTTGAGTATCCGCCCTCCACAGAGTCCAGGCCGGCCGTGCATCCCCGCGCCCATCGTTCGGGGTGAGACTAGTCGCAAACGACAACCAGTAGTCCATCATCGTCCGGCTGAGCTCAGCGCCTTGGACGCTGCCGACGTGTCCGACGGCGTGCCGAATACCCAGTCGATTTCGGAGCCATGCGGGACTGCCTGCGAATTAGCCTCTCAGCTCTGATAAAAGCGAGTCACGGACCACCGAGGACTGGCGGGCTCTGCGGCTGCGGCTGGGTGAAAAGATACACATACGTAGGCACGCGAACCGCTGCCGCCGCCGCTACCCAAGCGCGTAGGAGGGCGAGGAAGTTGAGGTCTCCGACTGCAATTTACAAGTCAAAGACGATTTTTTATCGTTGGAGGAGCGGAGCAACTGACCCATAGCAGCAGCGTGCTTGAACTCGGGACTGAGCCCGAAGGTATTATTACCTGTCCCAAACGGCGAGCCTGCAGGTGTTTATAGAGTTAGGATGGAATAAGAGATGCGGAAATGGGCCAACCAAGCGCGGGGTCGTCAGGGTAGAGAACTAACAACTCAGCAATCGCGGACTGCAACGACGCGGGTGACAGCGATGGGGAGAACGCGGCATCGAACAAGACCTGGATCCGCCGCCGTACCTGGACAAACTGTCAGAGAAACCGATTCACTTTGGATCATAAGTTACCCACGTCCACAACATCTGCAGGGATTATGATCTCAGCCTCACGCAATGTCCTTGTCGAATATACGCACGATAGGCACACGGGCATCAGCAGGCATATTGGCTGGGCGGAAAACATTGACGGTGAGGCAGTCTTCCGACATAGGCCCGTGGGTCGCGGCCTGTGAGGGGCTCTCAGAAAAGAAAGCTATGTATGCGTGCCACGCACTAGCTGAAGACACGCGGGCCCAAACTTGGTCGCGTCAAAAGTCCTGCTTCTCAGGACGGTCTTGACTTTTGGGGGGCGAAAGCGTCTCTCTGCGAGAGGCGGCTCTGCATACGGGATGCCTGAAATCGAGCCTGCTCGACACACGCGGATGGAATGGGATACTTCGACACGCACCTGCATATAGCTCTTGTCCGAAGCTTGGGATGCCCAGCCCGCTAAGCATCGTCTGACCCAGGCGAACAGAGGCACAGCTTGCGCTCGAAACGAGCATTGCCAAATGGGCAGCAGTAGAGAGAAAGAAGAGCGCCATAACCCATCCTACGTAATGAGTTGTCGTCTTTTAAGCTGACTTCCGAGACGCCTGTCCGAGTCGGTGCTCACTGATTAAGACGTGGCTGCCTCGCTGCCAATCGACAGGGAGAACCAGCGACCATGGAGCCTCCGAGCGCGGGAGTTTCGACAACGCGCGCTGTGAGATGGAGCGGCACTGCCAATGTCGTGACAGTGAAGCCGTCGCCGCGGGACATTTGAGTCAGCGTCTTGACGAGCGGACAGTGAACGCCAAAAACGAGAAGAGGAAAAAATGATCCGAGCCGGATAACGATCCGTGTGACGTCAATTACGGGAATTCTGGCCCTTAAATAATTAAGAATGGTTTAGTTTACTGCTCCGTAGTCTCCATCGGGCGTTGCTTGTCCCGCTTCCTCCAAGATCGGTCATCAAGTTCATGGGTATTATCACCCAGCATATCGACTGGGAACGTCGTGTCTGTCGCAGCGCTGCCCGTCGCGTCTACCGGCATCCTCGGTCCGCCCAGCCGAATTGTCGATATTTCCCCCACGTGTTTGCTGGCACGGGTCCTCGAAACAGCGGTGCCGTCATCAATCACACCGTGCCGGGAATGTGCGAGGAGCACGATAACGGTTGGATAGATGCCCTACGACGCGATTCAGTAAAGCCCGAAAAATCTGGTGAGATTGGACCAACCACAAAAGTACTCGAAGAGTAGTCGAACATCATCATCAGAATCGTCAGAGTCGTGCTGGAGTTGATGAGCGCCTCGACCTGTGTGATGTCGCCGATGACTTGGATGAGCTAGTTGCCAGCCGTCAGTAGGCATGCTTTGGAATGAAAGTCGACACGCACAAAGAACAGGAAGTAAAAAAATCCTGACTCGACGAGGAGCATAAGAAGTCGCTCCGCCTGCGACCTGCGTCGTTTGCCAGTCCCACCAGCGCTGCCGTCGCTATACACTGGCGCGACCACATTGCGGTGTCGCCTATACAATGAGCATTCGCGTTTTTGTGCAGAAAAAGTGAAGACTCACCAGGCCGCATGCCCTATCATCACCGTCGTCACCGCTGTCGTGGCCATCGGCATGATGTAGGTTACTTGCTGCACATTATGGCAGAACGCAGGCTTTTCGAAACTCCCAAGCACAATCTCGTCGCCGGCGACAGCGACACAGTAAGTCAGCATGAGGGTTGCAACTGGCCGGAAATTAGCATTGACAAGAGTTGGATATACTGAATACCAGTGGATCCCAGAAGCAGCGCGCATGGGATGAGGAACACGTATCGGTGGAAGTACTGCCCCACCGCGCGTACTCGGTGGATTATTATAGCGTCCCCGAGTAATGACTGCAGAGGACAAATGTGAGGAGTTTCAGTCAGAGCCAGCCAATGCAAGACACACCATGTACGCATACAAGGCATCCAGTGCCGAAATGATCTTGAATATCCGCTTATTTGCCACATCCAACCGATCCCCGACTGCATCGCCTGGTTGGAGCTGCATAAGCGTGATCTTCCCTTCAAGGATGAATGTTGTGAAGTCCAGCGCAAGCAACACGAGAGCTATGGCGAACATCGTGAATATGGCGAGGGAGAAGAAGATATAAGTGCGCAAAGTCCGTCTGTCTTTCCGTCTGTCAGGCAAAGTTAGGACTGGTCAAGCACCCGGAGCGCCGAGCAAACTGACAGCAAGAGAAAGCTAGCTTTGAGGACAAGGGCAGCATAGACGGCTGTTGGTCCGTTTAGTGTGTCAACGTGCAATGAGAAGTTACACATACTCATCCAAAACGTATGGTGTACAATGGCAATAAAGCCATGGACCCAATCTCTTCCTATACCCTGGAGCACAACGACTTCATCGGGCGTCATCGCTAGCGGAAAGCGAAGGAGGGCAGAATGCAGACTCGATGTGGAACGCAGCAGCCTTCAGTATTTATCAGTGACGATAAACACCGAGCTAAAAGTAGAAGCGATGAGCTGTAGATCACCGTTCTTCGTGCTTTGATGTAGCCATAGCCAGCATTTCTGCTCTGAATCCTGCGCAACAACCAACAACTGTCCCTTCAAAACTTGAATTGGATCCATACACAAACGAAGAGTTTTAATCTGAAGGGCTCACCTTAGCATTACGGACTTAAAATAGGAAAGAACAGAAGGGCCAGGCGCCGAGTGGAGTATCAACCAGGCGATAATCAGAATCACCATTTCACCCTTAAATCTGTGATTGGGTAGGGACACGCTCCGTGGGTAAGACGGCAAGGCCAGCGCGTCCAATGTTAGGCTTCGGCTGCCTCGCTGCGGAAACACAGTGATGAGTCTTCATATTTTTGGACGACAGCACACACGCACGCCTCGAGGCAGACATTCAGGTCTGCTCTTGCACAATGACACAGGCTGCAATCAGCCCCAAGGTCCTCATTCTGAGTATGGTCTGTGGGGGTGACTCGGAGTTGCTAGTCGGAGTGCCTGACACAACAAACAGTTTAGCCGTGAGGCGAATGTGTGGTTCGACATACCAGAATTCGACCTTCGCGCACGAAAGCTTCCCATCCCCGGCCTCTCTCCACACGCTCCGGCTCTTTATTCCACCAGCGATGGCTCGATATGCCAGCTCACAATCGGAGAAGGCATGGTCAATGCCGCCATAACCCTCACCGCCGTCGCGTTCTCTCGGCTGATAGATCTGCGCAAGACCTATGTCCTCGTTGCAGGTGTTGCGGGCGTAAACCCTCACTTCGCAAGTCTCGGCTCCGTGACATTTGCGCGCTTCGCAGTCCATGGTGGACTCCAGTACGAGATTGACGCCCGGGAGGTGCCGAGTGGATGGGAGACGGGGTTGTTTGCACAGGGCACAAGCGAGCCAGGAAGATTCCCGACGACATTGTACGGGACCGAGGTGTTTGAGGTCAACGACGCCTTGCGCCACCTGGCGCTGAAAGCAGCTAGCAGCATTCAGTTGACCGACACAAAAGACTGCGAGGAGTTACGCACCAAATACCCCTTCCCCGCTGCCCAGTCTCCGCCTTCCGTCCTGCTTGGCGACACCGTCTCATCTGACACCTTCTGGAGCGGGACCCTCCTTGCCAGAGCTATGGAGAAAACTATGCAGACAATAACCCATGGCCAGGGCGAGTACTGCACCTCCCAGCAGGAAGACAACGCCATCCTCGGCGCATTACACCGTGCAGCGCTTAGCGGCCGCGCCGACTTTGCCCGCATCATCATCATGCGCTCTGGCTCCAATTTCGACCGTCAGTTTGAGGGCCAAAACGCGCTCGACACGCTCCGCGGGCCGACCCCCGGGTTCTTGCCCGCATTGAAAAACTTGTATGTGGCGGGAGTAAAGGTCGTGGAGATGATTTCGGAGGGCTGGGTGGACACGTTTGAACGTGGGGTCGAGCCAGGGAACTTGATTGGTGATGTATACAGAGAGACAAAGCGAAGTCGGAGTGAGGAAGAAAACAAGTCATAAGTCGCAGGTGGCGGTGAGATTACGAAATTTTTGGATCAAACAGTAGACCTATATAACAGTAAGAAGTCTTTCAGATCTTTGAGCTTTGCTGGTTAATTTCTGTTCTTTAAATCCTATTTTCTAAATTATATCAGTAAGTCTAAGAAAAGAAGTGAAGGATGAAAATTGATATCCACTAAGTATTCTGCCATTCACAGTTGATTTTAATGTAAATTCAGGCTGCAAACGTTAGTTGAAAATTTTCTTCTGTCAAACTCAAGTTTTTTTAAAAAGAAAGGTTTGCAGGAAAAAGAGATTTTATGATTGACTTTCCAGAAAGGGAAATTGCTGCTTTTGGAAGAGGTTTTCACTGATAAAAGAATAAATGATTTTCTTTCAAGTTTTCACACAAGGAAAATAATTTGTTCATGTATGTTCCTCTTTGATTTTTAAACAAAGAATTTCTTTGGTTTCTGCCAGAGTAAAAGTCTTTGATAAGGGAACTTGTATTCTTTATTCAAAACCTTGAAAGAAAACCATAAGTATTTGAATTGCAAAAGGTATTCCAAAACCAGTCATTTCCTGATTCAGAGAGTTTCTTTAAAAACATCTGTTGTTTCTTTTGTCTTGCAAAAATTATTTGTTTATGGCACTGAGAAGAAAATTTATTCAGAAACTAGTATTTTTCAAATTATTATCAACTTTTGCATGCAGATTTTAATTACACTGGGGGCAATCAATACATGACTATCGAGAAAGCATCTAAAGGAGGTCCAGAGACTGTGCTTCAAGTTGGGGAAGAGCTTGTCACATAGGTTGACGAGTTCCGTCACTTTCACAGTCTCACACCTAGTGGTTTCATCGCCCCTCCTCAATTTTAGTACCTCGATTTCCGGGTTCCCTCACTTTACAACTTGAATTTGCTCGAAATGTTTTTCATGACGTCGGTTCTATCGACGACAACAACGTTTACAGCCCTTTCTCCACAATCGCCACCTCAGTGACGGACTCTGACTCGGGATACGCCGGCGGCGGTGCCGATGGGGGCAGCGCAAGACTTGTCTGGCCACGCTCGGGGCTGCCTTGAGACTCCCGCACATCTTGTCCTCTCTTACCTCGCCGCGGGACTCCGAAAGTGAGCACGAAGGGCTCCGGAATAGAATCATCATGATCCGCCCGGTCGACTGCCCGACGGCGGAAGGTCAGCCGACAACGGAGATAATAGCACAGGGAGATGAATGCGAGCAGAGGGATCCCCACTCCGAGGCCGACACCGAGAGCAAGTGCACGAGTATGGAGACGGGCGTGCCCGGAAGGCAGTGGCGATGGGTTTGCGGACTCGGATGGCGTCTGGTCGTGACGGTTAGCAGATGTCAGTCGCAGGCCGAAGGAGAGCCGGGCACACCAGGGTCAAAATTGAGGATTCTATGGCGGTGACAGTTGCCGGCGTCGATACAACAGTGTTGCTAGATGCCCGACCCACGGTAGCGGAAGTGTGTAGTTGGGACGTAGACACGACAGGAGGACGGGTGGCAGTGGTTGAGGACGCAGTCCGTAAGGTAGAGCTGCGAGCAATCATGATGCCAGTTGTGCTAATGGAAGCCGTCGCTATCGACACACTGCATAACATGGAAGTGAGTGCAAAAGATGAGGGTGTGATAGACGGTTTCCATACCGGACCGCCTCGTTCGGGCAGGCGTTTGCAGGACCGTGCGCCAGGAGTAGCGAAGCCTAGTGCGGTATGAAATGGATAGGCACACCGGCATATAGCCATATGATTTACCTCGTCGTAAACGCAAAGCGCTAAATCACCTTTAAAATTGCAAATAATTTGGAGTTGTGAGTGCTGAGAGACGGTATTCTGCCCCTTGAGAAGATTGCCTAGTCGGTCTTTTAGCGGGCAGGAAGCCAATCCGGTTGAGTTTGGGCCTGTGTCCATTGAGTATGGCGTTCTATGAATCGTTGCAGCTGCTGCCACGAGGGGCTTGGAGATATAAGTACTTTTCGCGAGCACATCTCCCTCTGCTCGACAGCCACTGGCAGGTCTTGATGAATGTTCGTATCCAGCGTCAAGTCTTCGATTCCAAAGTTATTTTGCTTCTGTCGTTTTGTGATGATGATGATGGTTGTCGTCAAAGTTGGTTAAGGGCACGTGCAACGTGATGATGTGATGTGATCGTGTCGCGTCATGGCTACGTCATCCTTTCCTCAGCTCCAGCCGTCATGGAGGTACAAAACGCGCCACGCTCCATTCCAGCGTGCATTCTACATCCTTAACCTAAACCATGACGACCACCACCATGCCCAACCTCGTGCCGACCCTTGGGTCTTCGATTTTGCCAGCGACGCCAGCACATGAGTGGGCAGAGAAGATGGAGGGAGAACTGGCAGACGGGGCGAAGAGGGCGGATAGTTTGGCGCCAAAGGACGCGGTTGACCTTGTGCCGGGGTCGTTTCCTGGGGGGCATGAAGAGAGTGAAGGGGTACCAGTGGTGGAGAAGGCAGCGACAATGCTGCCAGCGGAGGAGGACGTGCAGAGCACCATCACGACTGTTGGCCAGCGGGTGAAGGAGATGTTGCCAGAGGTCCTGAAGGCATATCTGCGTACGCGTTTTCTTTTCTCTGAGGGGATTCCAACTGAATGTGCTTACAGCGTCGACGAACATGACCACTGCGAAAGAGATGGAGTCTGACGCGCCGACCTTTCTGAAAGAAACCCCGCCTGCCGACTCATTGCTCAGCACCTCGACCAATCTCAGTACTCAGGCCCAAGCAGGATCCATTTTCCCACCCACACTCGAATCTGAATCAGTTCCCGTCGCAACACCCGCTGAAGCCGACCCCGACCCTCTCATGACACCCATTGCCGCGCCAGTCCCCATTTCCGGCCTCTCCGCTCCCCCAGTCGATGACACTGCTTCATCCAACCTCAGCACTCGTGTACATACCGGCACTTCCGCTTCCCCCAACCCTGTGTTCCCCTCGCTCCCCGCCGATATCCCTCACTCGACGCCGACCCCGCCAAACGGCTCCCGCTTCCTGGAGCGCCTTGAGTCATCGCAGTCTGCAGACATTGACCTCGGCTTGACGCACACGACATCGCCGAAGCCCTTGTCGGTTGCGGAGGAGGAGGACGTTCATGAAGGGGCACGTGCGCCGAACAACACGATGGCTGCACCTCCAACGGAGAAAGCCATCTTGGTCGAGCGGGGAGCGCCAGATGCACTACCCACGCCGCAAGCAGGGGTGCTGCCCGCGGAGCTTGGAACCGATGAAGTTTCCGATGGGCCGTCGGACGATGGTGATGAGAAGGACGGCGATGGAGAGAAGAAGGAGCGGAAGCGCGACAAGCTGGTGCGCAAGCTCAAGGAGAAGATGCACGTCGGCGGGGCGCATTGATTGAGGGGGTGGGGGTTTTGTATCATCTGGCCTTGACGCATATTTTCTTCTAACTCCAATGTATCATGATTCATTGCACATTTTGATTCAATTAGTTTCAAGTTGACTGGTGAACCTGATTTATTTGGTTGTGTTTATCATGAGGTATAGTACCAGTATTGCACTACTCACCCACATTTAGTATTTAGTGAAAATTGATACTCTGATGGTCGATCAATCCCATCAAACTTATAGCGGATTTTGAGGCATCTAACTACTATATACATAGATTCTTCTGGTCTTACCCAGTTGCTGGAGACACAGAAATGTAAGCTGCATGATGTCTTTCAAGTCCAATAAGTTCAAGTTCTGCAAGCCAGGCCATTTACTACAAGCTATGAACAAACAATTTTTTGTGATAGCTGACCTTATAACGAAAATGAGGTGAACAACTGAGGTGCACTCGTGTGTAACTGTGATATATGTAGTGGATTGGAATAAGTAATCAGTATCATAGGGGAGTTGTTAGTATACATCTTATGGAGAGATATGCCAGATGGCCAGCCATGCCTTACTCCAACATTAATGAGTTTTCAATAAGCCACCTAGTGGCTTCAGTGGCTTAGCAATTTTCTATTTTCTTACACCAAGTATTGTCATTACAAAGGGGTATACAACCTATGAATATGGTTGGAGTTGATTGACTGTTTGCTGAGAAACCACAGCCACCTGGTGGCTATGGTGGCTTATTACAAACTGTCTATTAAATACCAATATAGACATATATGATACTGCTGGCATTGTCATCTTGCTAAGTGCTGTGTCAACTAGAGAACCGGAGTCGAAGTCAGAATTGGAAACAGAATCAAAGTCGGAGAGCACTTGGGGGGCGGAACATCTGTAAGGGCAACCCCGGAGGCCTGAGATCAAGGTCTAGCAGGGGAGGATCCAAAGGCGTGAACATTGGTAAGCGAATACAAATGAAGCTGACCTAGCAGGGGAGGATCCAAAGAGAAGAAACTCTAAGGGTCCGCCTGCTAGGTAGCTGACTATATACTGCTTGTCCGTAGCTGCCGCTGTCGGGCACAGAAGGCTTGGGCGGCGTCGCAGGCGAGGTCCCAGGGCGACCGTCGGGAGGGCGTTGACGGATCGGTGATTGTGCGGGCGAGATGGAGGGCCGGACCGGAGATGGAACCGAGTCGGACCGGAATCGGAGGCGTCTCCGAGGGGCCGAAAGGGAGGTTCCCCTGACATCACCCCCCTTTGAATGCGGCGTCCCGACGCATAGACCGGAACGGAATCGAGTCGAAGGTCGCGGAGGCGATGTGTCGTGGCTTGCCAGGGTACTTACGATAGAACTCCGCAATTTTCTCCGGGCGAAGACGCGGTCGAGCGGACCCATTGGTCGTGCGATGCGTCGTAGCCTTTCCATCTGACGAAGTAGTTCAGCCGTTTATACCTCACCCTTGCGTCCAGGATTTCCTCTACTTCCCACTCCGGGACTCCGTCCTCGAGGTCCGGAGGGGGCTGGTCGTAGCCGGGGCGTCCGTCGAAGGGGGTCGTCCTGAGCGAGCTCGAGCTTGACGACGGGGAAGACCGGGTGGAGCTTCGAGTAGCGGAGGGAGGTCGAGCTTGTAGGCACCTTTGCTGATCTCCGCGACTATCTTGAACGGTCCAAGGCGGCGATGGGAGAACTTTTCCGAGGGGCGAGTCGTCCTGATGTCAGAGGCATCCAGCCAAACACGGTCGCCAACCTTAAACTCCGGAGACGGAGTCCGTCTCCGGTCGTAGTAGCGCTTGTACTCCTCTTTGGCCTTAGTGAGCGCGGCCTTGGCTTCAGCAACACCAGTGGCGATCCGGTCGCGGAACTCGTTCACTGACTCCATGGCAGAACGGACTCCAGGTTCGAAGCCCATGCGCGGGAGCCGTCCCGTGTCCGTCATGAAGGGGACCTGCTGCGTAGAGGAGTGAACGTGGTTGTTGTAGGCGAACTCCGCGGCCGGAATCAGCTCATCCCAGTCGTCCTGCTGGTAGTTGGTGAAGATCCGCAAGTACTGCTCCAGCTCCTGGTTGACGCGCTCTGTCTGACCGTCTGTCTGCGGGTGGTACGCGGTGGACGTGGCGGGCTTGATGCCGATTAGACGCCAAAGTTCTCGGGTGAAGTCCGCGATGAACTGCGAGCCGCGGTCGGAGACGTACTTCTCCGGAGTCCCGTGGTGCCGCCAGACATTCCGGTAGTAGAGGCGGGCTGCCCCTACTGCATCGACCGTCGTATGACACGCTGAGAAGTGGGCGCGCTTTCCGAGGGTGTCAATGACGACCATGATCGCGTCGTACCCATGGGCCTCCGGAAGCTCGACGATGAAGTCGACGGAGACGGTATGCCAACGCTCTGGGGGCGTTTCCGTCGGGTGCAGCTCTCCGTGGGGCAGTCTCCGGAGTGCTTTGGTGAGACAGCACAAGTCACAGGTCGCGACGTACCGGCCAATATGGCGAGACATCTGAGGCCACCAGTAGTTCCGGGAGACCAACTCCAAGGTCTTGAAGCGACCGCGTGTCCGGCAACTCAGTGTCGTGGCAGAGCTCGATGATGCGTCTCCGGAGGTCCTTATCCTTAGGTACGACAATCTTCCCACGAAAGTGAAGAAGACCACCGGAGACAGCCCACTCGTCGGAGCGCGAGGAGGGGGGCCTCGAGCTTGACCTTGGACCTTTAGGAGTTGCCGGGCCGCTAGTGCGACGGGCTCCTCCAGGTCAGGCTCACCGGAGAGGGCATCGCGGATGTCGCGAAGGAGTTCAGAACCAGGGCCGGAAACGGAAACGCCTTGAGAGCGCGGACATGGAAGAGTTCGGGCCGCAGAAGGACGACGTCGGAGTTGTCGGAATCGATTCCGTGGTCTGGTCTCCGAGAGAGGGCGTCAGGTCGGCCCATGTCGCGGCCGGGCTTGTGGTGCAGCGTGAAGTCGAACCGGGAGAGGTAGAGGGACCAGCGGGCCTGTCTCCGGTTGAGGTGCTGCGTCTTCCTGAAGTACTCCAGATTCTTATGGTCAGTCCAAATCTCGACGGGATGCGCGGCGCCCTCGAGGAAGTGTCTATACTCCTCGAGTGCGTGGATGATCGCGAGCATCTCCTTGTCGTGGATTTCGTAGTTGCGCTGGACATCATTTAAGCTTTTGGAATAGAATGCTACAGGGTGCCACTTCCCGTCCGGGGCGGATTGTGAAAGAACCGCCCCGTCGCATAATGAGAGCTGTCCGCCTCAAGTCGGAAAGGCCGTGCGTCGTCCGGAATCGCCAGGACCGGTTCCGAGGTGACCGCGTCCTTGATCGCTTGGAACGCGGAGGCCTCCGCGTCGCCCCAAGTCCATTGCTGGTCCTTCTTGGTGAGCACGAAAAGAGGGCGCGCAAGGGTCGAGAAGTCCCGAATGAACCTGCGGTAGAAGTTAGCGAACCCAAGGAACTGCTGAATGTCCTTCTTGTTTTCCGGAGTCGGCCAAGCGGAGACGCCTGCGACCTTGACGGGGTCCATTTCGACGTGGTTGTGGGAGATGATGACTCCGAGGTACTCGATTGACGATTTTTCAAAGTCGCACTTCTCCGCTCGAAGGTACAACTTGTGCTCCCGGAGTCGCCGTAAGACCTCCTAGACAATCTGCCGGTGTTTCCGGAGGTCGGAATGGGCGATCAAGATGTCGTCAAGGTAGATCATGACGTCTCCGGAGAGGATGAGGTCCTGAAAAATGTCATTCATCATCGTTTGGAACGTCGCGGGAGAGTTTGTCAGGCCGAAATACATCACCAAGGGCTCGAACAGGCCTCGGTTAGTCCGGAAAGCCGCTTTCCACTCGTCACCTTCCTTGATCCGGACGTTGTTGAAGCCCCAACGGACGTCAAGTTTGGTGAAGTAACGAGCGCCTTTGAGCCGGTTGATGAGGTCGTTGATCAGCGGAAGGGGGTACCGGTTTTTGACAGTCATCGCGTTGAGAGCACGGTAGTCCTGGACGAAGCGGAGTCCGCCGTCCTTCTTCTTGACGAAGAAGACCGGAGACGCCATCGGAGACTTGGAGGGGCGAATCCGGCCCGTCGAAAGCCCTTCCTCGATGAACGCGTCGAGCTCGCGTTGCTCGAGGGGCGAGATGGGGTACACCTTGCAGTTGGTGGGCTTAGCGTCGGGGACGAGTTCAATGGCGTGGTCCCAGGCTCTCCGCTCCGGTAGCGTGTCGAAGGACTCCTTGTTGAAGACGTCCTGGAACTCCTTAGCTAAGTCCGGGATCTCGGAGGGCGGAGGGGCGGAGTTCCTGGCCAAGGCTTCGGCCAGGCGTTGCGAGACAGTACTGCCAGCGCGTATCTCCTCCGAGGGGCGGAACGAGGTGTAGAAGATGCGGTCACCATCTTCAAGCTGACCATCGTCATCGTCGTTGTCGGAGTCCGGCGTCAGATCAGGCAGGCCGGAGTCGTCATCGGAGACGGAATCGTCTCCGTCATCAGACCCAGAAAGGTCCATGGCGCAGACCGAGGGGAACGGGCCGGAGCGGAGACGCTTCTGAAGCGACCGGAGTCGCCGCAACTCGGTCCGTTCGACTCGCTCTTCCTCACGGCAGGTCGAGCAATTGCGGGGGGCACCGTGTCATCTTGACCTCCTTGGTTTCCCAATTGATCTCTGGGTTATGTTTCCGCAACCAGGAATACCCCAGGATGAGGTCTTGCTTGCCAAGATGGGTGACGGCCAGCTGAACTCATTCGGCATGGCCCTTGTAGCGCAGGACCAAGTCCGCGATCTGTTTGATGGAGCCAGCGTCATTGGGGGTGCCATCGACATTGAAAACCGGAATCGGCTGATCGAGGGTGCGGACCGGAATGCCATTCCGAGCAACATAGTTCGTGTCAATGAAGTCGGAGGTGGCACCACAGTCGACAAGCCCAGAGAGTGAGAGCTTCAGCGCGCTGGTGGTGGACTCGAGCTCTAACGGGAGGTGGAGGGAGTTCGCCCCAGGGGCAGCGGCAATGGTGTACTGCTTGGGC